AGCATGGCTTTCTAGCTGAGAAGCCCAGTGTCTTAACCTCTGAGCCATTGCACCACCCACTCAATCACAACTCTTCACAATTTGAGCCAGGGTACCCAGCAAGTACATTCTTATTGCTGAGAATTCTGGGAGTTGAAGTCCACAGCTCTGGGAGTTAAAGTCCACACACTGGGAAGACACCAAGGTTAGGGAGAACTGGTATTGTACATTTATTCTCTATTCTGCCTTTACTGTATGCAATACGTATTTCTGTTTGCATTTTTATTGGGGAAATTTGGAGAAGTAGCAAGATAATTGAGGAACTGAGCTGACATAATCTCTGCACCCTCTTACAATTTCTTTGCTGCGTTAGAAATCAGTAACTCTACCTTCATATTTTCATTGCGATTTTTAGTTTATAATCAAATGAGAGTAAAGTAAACATAGTGTTTTATAATATTAGGATAGAAATTGATCAATAATGTGTTGCTCCTTTTGACAGAGTTTAGTGCATTATTTACCATTTCATATTTGATGTGGTTTTTATATTAAATATCATTATGTTTTTAGAATTTATATCAGTAGTACTAGCAATAGCACTTAGGCTTATATACCGCTTCATAGTGCTTTACAGCCCTCTCTAAGCAGTCTACAGAGCTAGCATGTTGCCCCCAACAATCTGGGTCCTCATTTTAATGACCTCGGAAGAATGGAAGGCTGAGTCAACTTTGAGCCGGTCAGGATCGAACTGGCTGTGGGCAGAGTTAGCCTGCAATACTGCATTCTAACCACTGCGCCACTACGGCTCTTTATCATTTATCATGTATTCAGGTTATGTGAGTCAGTCTGAGCATCTGATTTGTAACAATTTCACCTATGCTCATTCATATGCTGATTCTGTACACTTTCTGTATTATACCAATAGTATTATCATTTTAAAAAGTTTAAATCTTACAATTAATCTTTCATGCAACATTGCTAAATACAGATAGTCCTTGACTTATGACTATTCATTTAGTGACTGTTCAAAGTTATGATGGCACTGAAAAAAGTGACTTATAACAGGTTCTCACAACTCTCAGCATACATGCATTCACATGATCGCAATTTGAGCTCTTGACAACCAGCATGTATTTACGATAGCTGCAGCATCCTGGCTCATATGATCACCATTTGTAAACTTCCCAGATGGCTTTTGACAAACCAAATCAGTGGGGAAAGCTGATTCACTTAATGACCATGTGGTTCATTTAATGACTGTGGCAAAAATGACCACATCATTTAGCAACGGAATTTCTGGTCCAAATTATGGTTGAAAGTCAAGGATTATCTATAAATAATCTCATGTTCAGGCAAACCACATACAATTATTTTGCATTGCACTGCATGTCCAGGAGCAAAATCAGAATAAGATATTTAAGTAGTAACTGTGAATGCCTTTCAAAATATTTTGAATAAGGAAAGAAAAATATTGGTCTGAGCAATGATATATTATTAGACAATCTGTGACCCTGTGATATCCTTTCAGAGATATTTCCTTACCTAAACAGAGAAACAGAATAACCATGGTCAGCAAATAAAACAGTGGGAGCTGGATTGACTTCCTGCCGGCTTCCCCATTGATGTTGCTTGTGGGAAGCTGGCAGGGAGCATTGGAAATCACTGCTCCTCCTCAGCTGACTCGTAGAACTGCCTGCTACTTTGTCAAGGGGAAGAAAAGAAATGGAGATGTGGATTGCAAGGAAAATTGCACTCATGCTCCCCATCCTCGAAAAGGCCACCTCCCTCCAGGGAGAAAGAGGGCTCACCTGTCAACTACCAATGCTCTCCAGCCAGCCGTATCTCTCAAGCCGGCATCAAAATCTCTCCATACCTTTAAAATATTTCAGATTTCGGCCTCCGTTCCAAAGCAGCCAATTGTTGCTCACCTGTTGGTCTCCTCCAGCCAGCCTTACATTGCCAGCAGGCATCTAAGTCGCCAGCTTGTCCTTCTCTCACTGTCTGCCATTATTAAGAGATTTTATATTTTACCTTTGGTTCCAAACAGCCAATCAGTGCTTGCCTGTCTGGCCTTGCTGCCAGATGATTGGGTGTAGGAGCCAGAAGGAGGGGGGGAAAGAGGGAGGGGATGCAGCCTTCCCATCTTCCTTTATGCCATACATAAGATTACAAGAAACTAGTGAAGAGACAAACCTAGAATTGTAGCTTATTTGGCACAGACAAGTATGGATGCTGTGATTTCATCATAAGAGTGGAAGATTCCTCAGATGTCTGGTACAAGCTGGGATCTATTGAGATGCTTCCAGGCTTATCAAATCCCTGAAGAATTTTGAATTTAAGAAATTGTGGTGTGGATGTTTGGATTAGAGGGCCAAATAAACAATTTTCTAATTCTAACAACAGGGATAAGCTGTCTTTTAAAGTCTAGGAATGGCACCTCAAAAAAGTTGGAAAGAGATGAAAAAAATACACCCTCTCCCTTAAGAATTTTTCTATGTCCGGGGAGATGATAAGAGCATTAACCTGTGATAAATAATGCAGCGGAAATTAATATTTTTTTCTGATAAAATCAATGTTATTTAGGTGAGGCTTAGGGAAATGCAGAAGAAACTTGACGAGGTTGATGCACATTTCCTTAAGAGCCATGGTGGCGCAGTGGTTAGAATGCAGCATTGCAGGCTAACTCACTACTCACTCCCAGGCAACATCCGAGTACCACCAGTCACCTAGCAAGGTGTCAAAAACTTGATGACCCCCCCAAAAGGAAAAAAGTGATAAAGTACAGGTAGTCCTCGACTTACAACAGTTCGCTTAGTGACTGTTTGAAGTTACAATGGCACTGAAAAAAATGCCCCCCAAGCCACAGCCGAGCAAGACACCTGCCTGCCCACCCGGCGGCGCTCTTCCTCCTGTCCGAGGTTTTCATCGTTGTGAGCATTTCTGTTGAGGATTGGCAGCGGGGGTGGGGTGGGGGGTGTTTGGTTTTTATTCCCCCGTCTGCTGGGTGGTTGCAGCAGCTTTTGCTCGTTTCACATGACCCTGGGACACTGTGACTGTCATAAATATGAATCAGTTGCCAAGCATCTGAATGTAAATCACAAGACCCTGGAGATGCTGCAACATTCCAGCTGATCGGCGCTTCTTCAGGGCTCAGCAGAAGTGCCAGGATCAGCGCCTAGCTCCAGGTGGAGCCTGGTGCTGATCCTGGCGCTTCCGCTGAGCCCTGACAGCCCCGATGAAGTGCCGATCAGCTGGAAAGAAGCACTGATCCTGGCGCTTCCGCTGAGCCCTGACAGCCCTGCAGCTCCAGCCATCTCTCGCTCAGACTTGTGCGGTGCTGCCACCAGTCCAGCTCATTCCCCTCCCCCGCTACCACTTTTCTAGGATGGTCACATACCACCTGCCAGATGCCAATGTACCACAGGTGGTACCCGTACCACTGGTTGAAAAGCCCTGCCCTACACCATTTCGGACAAATGGCTGTCCAGTCTCTTCTTAAAAACTTCCAGTGTTGGAGCATTCACCCTTCTGGAGGCAGGTTGTTCCATTGGTTAATTGTTCTAACTGTCAGGAATTTTCTCCTTAGTTCTAAGTTGCTTGTCTCCTTGATCAGTTTCCATCCGTTGCTTCTTGTCCTGCCTTCAGGCACCTTGGAGAATAGCTTGACTCCCTCTTCTTTGTGGCAGCCCCTGAGATATTGGAACACTGCTATCATGTCCCCCCTCGTCCTTCTCTTCGTTAAACTAGACATACCCAATTCCAGCAGCCGTTCCTTATATGTTTTAGTCTCCAGTCCCCTAATCATCTTTGTTGCTCTTCTCTGTACTCTTTCTAGAGTCTCAGCATTTTTTTTACATCGTGGTGACCAAAACTGGATGCAGTATTCCAAGTGTGGCCTTAGCAAGGCATTGTAAAGTGGTATTAATACTTCATGAGATCTTGATTCTATCCCTCTGTTAATGCAGCCCAGCACTGAGTTTGCTTTTTTGGCAGCTGCAGCACACTGCTGGCTCATATTTAAGTGATTGTCCACTAGGACTCCGAGATCCCTCTCACAGTTACTATTATTGAGCAAGGTACCCCCTATACTATACCTGTACATTTGGTTTTTCTTGCCTAAATGTAGAACTTTACTTTTTTCACCATTGAATTTCATTTTGTTAGATAGCGCCCAGGAACCAAATTGTTGGGGGCAATATGCTGACTTTGTAAACTGCTTAGAGAGGGATGTAAAGCACTGTGCAGTGGTATATGAGTCTAAATGCTATTGCTATTAAGGCAAGATTATATACAAAAGGTAAAACTATTTCGCAAGGGTTAAAAACAAGATGCTGGAACTTTTGTACAGCATTCAAACACATAACACTGAATATTATGGATAAGGAATCAATGGCTCATTGAAACAGTCTAAAAATTCAAAATGCTGTAGTGAGAAAAATATTTTAAGAAGAGACTGGACAGCCATTTGTTCGAAATGGTATACTACTATTATTATTATTATTATTATTATTATTATTATTATTATTATTATTATTATTATTATTATTATTATTATTATCATCTTTACAAAACACGTTGAAAATTACCTGCCTAAATAATACATTATGTGGCAGCCTGAGATATTAGATACTTATTCACCCAATACAATTGGCTAGTTAGCTGAAATAACTAAAAAATAGCAAAAAATAAGAATGATCAACCAATGCTAACTAAACTTTTTTTAACTAATGTATCTTAGCAATATCGGGGAGAGATGTAAATGGAACAGCACTGAAAACAACTTCACTGACATTCAACAAAGAGCAACACTCAAATCAAACAAGAACTATTACTCCAATGAACACACTAAACAAGCTACGCCATGCACTAGAAAAGAAAAACCAACAAAGGATATTCCGAAAAAGGAAACTTCTCTCTACTATAGTAAGCTTAACCTCTGCCCAGGGACAAACCAATCCATCCCTCGCCCACTCTACTGCCATGCAGCCAGAAGGAAGCTCCCCATCATCCGAGTCTCCAATAGCCACGTCGCTTTCCATGCCGACTGTATCCTCTCCGGCTCGGACCTCGCCGCCATCGTCTCCCTCGGAGACCACCATTGCATCCCACGGCACGAGTTCTTCTATTCATGCAGAATCCACCCCAGCTGAAGGAAGCACCACCTCTTCGCTCCATTCGGCACACTCAAGCACTGCAGTCCCAGAAACCATGTCCTCCTCAGAGTCGGTGGCCTCTATTGTCACCACGACTGCTGCTATTGGCATGACTGAGCTAACCTCCGCCCAGGAACAAACCAGTCCCTCCCTCGCCCCCTCTTCTGCCATGCAGCCGAAAGGAACCTCACGGCAGGAGACAACAACTCAACCCCCGCCTTCTGGCTCTTCCACAACGAAACCGGAGGTGAACTCTGCCCGAGGCACCACCGTTTCTACGTCAACTTTTTCCCCTTCCACTGACCACTCTTCCATTGCACTTACCGAGGAAACCACCGTCTCCTTCCGGTCTGACAGTCCTCCAGCCAGGGTCGAATCAACAGCAGCTGAGGGGACCAGCACTTCCCTCTCTTCGGCAACATCTCCTACGGCTGCTCAGCTGAGAACCTCGACTATTGAGGTGACCGGATCCATCCCGATGAGGCCGCATTCCACTATGGAGACTGGCTTCACGTCTCTTGAAAATCAAACCACGCCAACCTTCAGCAAGGTTTCTCCCACGAAGGTTGAGCTGACCTCAGCAGAAGTGACCAAAACAGCTTCACCAGCATCCGAGTCTCCCCTGGCCACGTNCGTCTCTTTCCATGCAGACTGTATCCTCTCCGGCTCGGACCTCGCCGCCATCATCTCCCTCGGAGACCACCATTGCATCCCACGACACGAGTTCTATTCATGCAGAGTCCACCCCAACTGAAGGAAGCACCACCTCTTCGCTCCATTCAGCACACTCAAGCACTGCAGTCCCAGAAACCATGTCCTCCGCAGAGTCGGTAGCCTCTATTGTCACCACGACCGCTGCTGTTGGCATGACTGAGCTAACCTCAGCCCAGGAACAAACCAGTCCCTCCCTCGCCCCCTCTTCTGCCATGCAGCCGAAAGGAACTTCACGGCAGGAGACAACAACTCAACCCCCGCCTTCTGGCTCTTCCACAGCGAAACCGGAGGTGAGCTCTGCCCGAGGCACCACCGTTTCTACGTCAACTTTTTCCCCTTCCACTGACCACTCTTCCATTGCACTTACCGAGGAAACCACCGTCTCCTTCCGGTCTGACAGTCCTCCAGCCAGGGTCGAATCAACAGCAGCTGAGGGGACCAGCCCTTCCCTCTCTTCGGCAACATCTCCTACGGCTGCTCAGCTGAGAACCTCGACTATTGAGGTGACCGGATCCATCCCGATGAGGCCGCATTCCACTATGGAGACTGGCTTCACGTCTCTTGAAAATCAAACCACGCCAACCTTCAGCAAGGTTTCTCCCACGAAGGCTGAGCTGACCTCAGCAGAAGTGACCAAAACAGCTTCACCAGCATCCGAGTCTCCCCTGGCCATGTCTCTTTCCATGCAGACTGTATCCTCTCCGGCTCAGACCTTGCCGCCATCGTCTCCCTCGGAGACCACCATTGCATCCCACGGCACGAGTTCTATTCATGCAGAGTCCACCCCAACTGAAGGAAGCACCACCTCTTCGCTCCATTCGGCACACTCAAGCACTGCAGTCCCAGAAACCATGTCCTCCGCAGAGTCGGTGGCCTCTATTGTCACCACGACCGCTGCTGTTGGCATGACTGAGCTAACCTCCGCCCAGGAACAAACCAGTCCCTCCCTCGCCCCCTCTTCTGCCATGCAGCCGAAAGGAACCTCACGGCAGGAGAGAAGAACTCAACCCCCGCCTTCTGGCTCTTCCACAACGAAACCGGAGGTGAGCTCTGCCCGAAACACCACCGTTTCTACGCCAACTTTTTCCCCTTCCACTGACCACTCTTCCATTGCCCTTACCGAGGAAACCACCGTCTCCTTCCGGTCTGCCAGTCCTCCAGCCGGGGTCGAATCAACAGCAGCTGAGGGGACCAGCCCTTCCCTCTCTTCGGCAACGTCTCCTACGGCAGCTCAGCTGAGAACCTCGACTATTGAGGTGACCGGATCCATCCCGATGAGGCCGCATTCCACTATGGAGACTGGCTTCACGTCTCTTGAAAATCAAACCACGCCAACCTTCAGCAAGGTTTCTCCCACGAAGGTTGAGCTGACCTCAGCAGAAGTGACCAAAACAGCTTCACCAGCATCCGAGTCTCCCCTGGCCACGT